CGCGGTCCCTCCGCCCTGGGCTGGTGGGAGGGAGCAGGGAGAGCTCGGAGCACACAGCCCCTTCAGGCGGGCAGGGGAAAGGGAATATTTGAGCAGGTGTGTTCCCCCAGCCCAATGCACACCTGTGAGGACTGGCCAGAGCGGCTCGTGCATGCCATGGGATCAGAAATCTCAGTGGGTGCTCTGGAGAGGTGATTCCGATTGGGGTTTTGAGCAGATCTGTTTTCCCCCTTGACCATCACAGATATTTGGGAGGAAGGTCACTTTCCCGAAGTATCCGTCCTCTGTGCCCCGAGGGCAATGTCGTGGTTCCCGGGCTGTAGCAGAGAGCATGGTGGCTCCACGCTGTCCTTGTTGGGGAGGGGAAGGGCACATCAGCCTGTCATGACCCCACTGCTCCCCTCCACTGGTGGGACACACCTGACAGGCGCTGGGGCAGCACAGGAGCGTTTTAGCTGTAACCAGTGTGTTGCTCTGTGTTTACCAGTCCATGTTCCTGGTACAGGACATTCCCACCATAACCCTTGTCCCCATAATCTTGCTTACACATGCATTGCACCTCCTCCACTGGGAATCCCCACTGACCTCCTTGCGGCACTCCCAAAGGACACATGGCTCCAGAGGGGACCTGCAGGGCTGCATCCAGGGCTTGGGGCTTTCCTGCTCCGGGACCTCGAGCATGGGGCAGGGCAGCAGAGTGGAAGGCTGGCAGGAGGGCTTGGCATCCTTGGGCAGCTCTTTGTAGCTGGTCCCGAAGGTGGGTGCCCTTTCACAGAGCAAACTGGCTCCTGCGACCCACTTATTTAAAATCACACATTTAAAAGGTGCGAGTTTACACCCATATGCACGTGTGATTGCAAACACAGGTGGGCTCTGTGCAAGGTGGGGGAAAGGCTTTTCCCCAGGGCCAGCAGCCCCCCTGACCCCCTGCATCCTCCCCACAGCCTGCCCAGCCATGGCAGCCTCGCTGAGCCGCCCCTGCTTCATCTCCCTCCACCTGCCCTACAGGCAGGGCTGGGGCCAGCACCTGGCCAACACCTTTCGCTTCCAGCCGGTGGCCGTGCGGGAGACGCCGCGTGTCCGGCAGCTGGCCCTGCGACGGGAATCTGCCATCTTCCTCGTCAACGAGCGCCTGGCACCTGCACGGGAATTCACCTCGTCCCACGACTTCCTCTATGACGTAGATCCCCAGCCCACCCTGGGCACGGCCTCCAACGTCTGCTTCGAGGTGGATGATGTGCCGGGGCTCTGCAAGCGGCTGCAGAGCCAGGGATGCTCCTTGCTGGTGCCCCCCACTGAGCTGAGCGATGAGGGTGGTTCTGTCACCTACGGCGTGGTGAGCTCTGTGGTGGGCAACATCAGCCACACCCTTTTGGACCGATCCTCTTACCGGGGACTCTTCCTGCCGGGCTTCCAGCCCATCCAAGGAGCCCCCTCAGCCACAGGGGATGGGATCAGGATCACTCACTTTGACCACATCACATATGTGTGCCCCCGGGGCGGGGCCCGGGCGGCTCTGGACTGGTACCAGCGCTGCTTTGGCTTCCACCGCTTCCTGCTGAACCCCCAGGAAAGGCCGGCTGAGGGCTACGTGCTGGGGGGGCAGGGGGTGGGCATGCTGCTCCTCGCACTGCAGAGCGCCCAGGGCACCCCAGCCCACGGCTGCAAGTTGGTCTTTGCCGAGTCCCTCTCCCAGAACGGCACCAACCAGGTCGACACGTTCCTGGAGCAGCACGGCGGGGCTGGGATCCAGCACGTCGGCCTCTGCACCACTGACATTGTCAGCACGACCAGGGCTCTGCAGCAGCGGGGGGCACGGTTCTTCACACCCCCTCCCACGTATTACAGCCAGGGGGGAAAAGCAGAGGAGATCCGAGGAGCTGGGCAGGACCCCCACATGCTGGCAGAGCTTGGCATCCTCCTGGACACCACAGTGCCTGGGGACAAGGGCCGGCCGGGCACTGATGCCACAGAGAGCCCCTCTCGGGAATATTTGATGCAGATCTTCACCCATCCCATCTTCTCGGAGGAGACTTTCTTCCTGGAGCTCATTGACCGTAGGGGAGCGCCCGGCTTTGGGGAGGGAAATATCCGGGCGCTATGGAAAGCTGTGCAGCTCTACATGGACCAGCAGCAGTAGTGCAACGCTGCAGTCCTCCCCCAGCTTCTCCACTCCAACCCTGGGGCAAGGACCGTAGAGATCCCATCCCTGGCATGGCCCAGGTGACCAGGGACCAAGGGGTGGCTCCAGATCAATCCAGAGCCAACCCAGCTCCAGCGGGAGCAAGATGCTCAGGGCTGAGTCCAGCAGGGGTGTGAGCATGCCCCAGAATGGCTGGGATTTCTCCCCTGACCATGGTTCCCCAGTGATTTATCGACCACATGTAAAGAACTTCCTGCCTTAGTTTCAGCTTAATTTATTGAGACTTGAGCCTAGAGCATGGCCAAGAGCGTGCTGGCACAGAAACACTCCAAACACAGAGAGATGAGGGGCTGCCTGAGGGGAGTGGATAATCCAGAGGCCCTGGATTACGACCACTTAGGGGCAGTTACCACCCACAGCATGACCCAGCCCTGCAGGGTGAGTGGTGGCCTCTTCCTCCTCTCAATTAAAGAATTAATTTACAGGCACTGCTTTGGGTTTTTAATCCTCCTATTTAAGATGTGCTGAATGCCAGGTGAGGATGAAATCGCCATTTCTTGGGTGTGTTAACGAAGAAATCCCTGCTCTTTCCAGCTCAGATCTAATGTTGGCTATCTTCACATTCCATCACAGGCTGCCCAACACCCCCAGCTTAGCACAGTGCAACAGACAGTCACTTAAAAAAAACACACACTTGAGATTTTATTTTCAGGTCCAGTAAAAACAAGGGAGGGCACAGCAGGATCCCCAGTCACTGACAGGGGAACAAGATGCAGGCAGGGGCCCAGGCTGCAGGAGCCACGTGGCCACAGCCTTCCCACTGCTGGAGAGAAAGCCCTGCTGCCCTGAGTCCACAGTGCCAAAGTGGTGGCAGTACAGGGCCAAATAGCCCAGGAGGGCTCCAGCAAAGAAGGGAGGTCAGGTCAGGCTCCAGGATTAATCCAGGACCAGTGGCCACATCCAGGCACAATTCCCATGGGGGAAAGGAAGAGTGAGAGACCGTTGTAGTGCCATGTGCTGGGATTGCTACAGCACAGGGCCAGCGCTGCCATGCCCCAGGCAGGACAGACCCCGGCGAGGGGCTCTGGGCTCTCACACGAGGAAGGTCGGTGCTCTCACGGGGCCGTCGGTGCCCGGAGAAAGGCGCGGAGGGAGAGCTGTGTCCCAGGGCAGGGGCTGCCTGCTCCCGGTGCCTTGGCCCCCCGCTTCCGCTTGGAGCCCTGCAGGAGACACAGCAGGGCTCAGCCAGACCCCAAGGGCCCACACGGGCTCCAGGGATCCCTCTGGGAACACCCAGGGGCAGTGACAGGGGATAGCCACAGGCTGGGGATGCTCCTTGGTCTGATCCCAAACCCCAGGGCACCTTCAGCACAGCACACCAGAGGCTGTCCCACAGCACTGGGGCCCCAGGCACCCTGGAGCACTGCTCACCTTGGCAGGGCTGCTCTCCTTCCTGCGCTGCTTCTCGTGAGCTTTCAGCACCTGAAGGAAGAACAGGAGATCCCAGAGAAGTTGAGGGGATGGCAGGGGTTTTCCCCAGATAACTGAGGGAAGGGAGGAAAGGCCCAAGTGCCCCCCATACCTTCTTCATGGCTGTGGACACGGCCGAGGCATGGAACTCATGCTCTGTCACCCAGCGGGATGGGGACAAGGCAGGGTCCAGGATCACATCCCCATCTAGGTGCAGGGAGTAGACCACGTAAGTCTGGTGGATGTGGGAGAAGATGTGGATGACCTGTGAGGGGATGGAAAGACACATGAGACAGGCAGCTGGCAGGCAATGGGGGATGCAAAGTGCACTGAGGCTGCCAGGATCCTGAGCAGTGGGGCAGAGCTTGGGAGGGGTGACAGTGGGGAAGGGACACCTTTCTCCTGTGTGCTTCATCCCCATGGCTGAGCACAGGGACTCACTGCATCCCTCCAGCTCCAGGCTCACCTCTCCAATAAACTGCAGACCTTTTGCTGCCATGGGCTGCCCCATCCAGGCCTGGAGGTGATCAGCCAACTCCTCCCTCTCCTTCTCCTCCTGCAGATCTTGAGCCAGTGGGACACTTGGGAACTCCCAGAGTCCAGCCAGGAGACCTGGGAAGGAGGCATGACAGAAATGTGAGGCAGCAAGGGACACATCCAGGGACACTGAGCCACATCGCAGCCCCAAAGGGCTCCTTTCCCTACCCCAGCAACCAAAGCCTCTTCTCTATCCCTCATGCAGGTGGGAAGGGGCTGTGTGGTGCCTTCATCCCCCCTTCCCAGCCCCATTACCCGAGCTGGGTCTCTGCACAATGAGGTATTCTGGGGCCCCGTGGCAGCCCCTCCTCTCCAGCACACACGTGGCTGTTCGCATCGCCCGCGGCGGCCTCTTCGCTGCTTTCCGGGGGAAGTTGGTCACCCCCAGGCTGCTGTCCCACGGCTCCGTGGCTGGGGGACACAGGGGACAGTCCCCAACACCTGCAAGCACCAGGGTAACAGTTGCTGCAGGGCTCAGACCTGGAGCTACAACAGGGATCCCCCCTCATGCTTACCACAGTCCTCAACATCAGGCACTGGGGGTGCTTTTCCAAACAGCTTCTGAGAGGCAAAGGCCAGCTCCTTCTCTACCTGCAAGGGCAAACAGAAGTGAGGATGGGCTCAACCCACCAGCCCACCTTGTCCCAGGCATGGCAAACCCTCGGGGCCACACTTACTCTGCGCCATGCTTGGCAGTGCTGCTTCACCGGGCACTCCCCACACAGTGGGGACTTGGGCACACACACAGTTGCCCCCAGCTCCATCAAGGCTTGGTTAAAATCCCCTGGGCGACTCCTGTCCACCAGCACATTGGCCATGTCCCTGGAGAAAGGGCAGTGAGAGGCACAGGGATCTCTGGGGAGAGCATGCCAGGACCTTTGCCTGCCTCCTGCCTGTCGGGGGGAAGCTCCTAGGTCGGCACAGGCAACACAGCTCCTTTCCCCATGACTCCCAGCAGCACCAACCTCCCAAGAGTTCCCATACTCCACACCTGCCTCCTTCCACAGGCTCAGCTCCCCAAGGCTCCTGGGTGATCCTGCCTTTAGCTCCAGAGACAGCATTCCCTTACCAGAGGCGGTCGATGACGGCCGGGCTGCTGGAGTCGGCACCGATGCATCGCAGGCGGCACAGGACCCGGATCACATTCCCATCCACAACTCCTGTAGCCTGGCACCAGGAGCTGCCATTACCATGCTGGGATGTGCTCCGGACAAAGAAGGGAGCTGGGATGCTCCCAGGATGGAGAGGGACACACACGAGGCCAACCCACAGGTCAGGCTGGGTGGGGGCTGTGATGCATCCCAAAGTGAGGGGAGAGCCAAGCACAACCCTGGGGACCCTTGGCTTGTGAGGCAGAGGCTGTAGGAGTGGGGCTGGGCAGCGAGGGGGACGTGCCCACTGCCAGCAGCTCTCACCTGTCCGTACGAGATGGACGCAATGGCTCCCGCCGTGTACCGGCCCACGCCCGGCAGCAGCTTCTGCAGCTCCTCAGCTGTCCTGGGCATCCTGCCAGCCAGCTCGGACACCACCTGGCAGGGAAGGGGCCAAGCTCAGGGAAGCAGCTGGGGTGGGCATGTGCAAGGAACCCATTTCGCCCGTGGGATCCCAGCCTCTGCAGCCTTGTGCCAGCAGCACAGCCCCAGTGAGGCAGGGCAGATATGAGCCAGCACCAGCCCAGGAACCACAGAGGGCATTAGAAAAGCCAGCACCTTTCTTGCTGCTTCCTGCAGACGCTTCCCTCTGGAGTAGTAGCCAAGCCCAGCCCACAGCTCGTTCACCTCCTGCTCCAAGAGACACAACAGTGGTAATGGAGAGTGTTAATGTTAATCTTTCTGCCACAGGGCAGGGAGAGCACCCAGTCCCAGCGATCCTCACCTCCAGGGACGCCTGTGCCAGAGCCTGCAGCGTCGGCCACTTCTGCAGGACAGAGGGAAAGGGACAAGTCGGGGATCTGCCACAGGCAGAGGGCAGCTGCCCCCTCCAAAAGGGGCAGGCTGTGGGCACAGCACTGTGAAAGGAGCAGTCACCTGCATCCAGCGGGTGTAGTAGTCGATGACCGTAGCCACCTGTGTCTGCTGGAGCATGATCTCGGACACCCACACTGCAGGGAGCAGGGCAGGGCTCACAGCACAGGCACCAAGGCACCCACACCTTGTGCTGTGGCCACGTTAGCACTGGCTGCAAACCCTGCACAGCATCTGGCTCATGGGACACCCTCCCACCCCTCACCTTCCCCACAGGTGCTCCTCCAGGCCCAAGGTAGGTTCTCCAACCTCCCAGTGCCTTGCAAGGGGGATCAATGGCTCTCGTGCCACTTCAGGCTGCTTGTTCCAAGGATGGCACACGAAGCCACAGCTCCCAGAGCCAGCCCCTGCTCCTCACCTGCATATCCCCGTCTGTCGGCATCCGGCTCCGACGTTGCCTGCAAGGGGGAGAAGATGAAGGGTGAGGAACAAGGTGACACAGACCCCACTGCAGAGGGGCCTCCGTGTAAAATAAAACAATCCATGGTGCAATGGAATCTGAAAGTAAAAAAAATTTCACCCCAGCACTCAGAAGTTCTGAGTTTGGGTTAATCATGTGACAGCCAAAGCATCTTCTTGCTGATGAAATTCCACATGGAGAGTTACTTATGAGGCTAAAAATCCCACAGAGAGCTATCCCATACCTGAGCCTGCCTGCAAAGGAAGCAATTGGAGGCAGATGTAAATCCCACAGAGGGGCTGTGCAGTTCCCACCCTTCAGACGTTACTGTAAAGCTGATGCCCACCCTCAGCACCACAATGACTCTCGAGCCACTGCTGCCAGTCTGAGCACAGAACAGGCAGGAGCTCTAAGAAAATGTCCAGCTGGCTTGAAACAAATACATGAGAAACCTTCTCCATGCAGCAGTCGCATTGTATCACTATGATACAGGGTATCATAGAGGCAGGAATGAAACAGGATCAAAACACAGCCAGACCAACCTGCCCAGAGATAAGTATTCCTCTTGAAGGTTACACTTGAGAAGCGTGCCCTGCTTTTACTCTTCATACCTAGGGACTGGCTCCAGACCACCCGCCACAACACAGCCACGACCAGCTGGGAGCACGTCCATGCGGGTGGGGATGCACGACACAAGGAAAAACACCACGGTCACATCAGCCAGGCTCCCTTAAGGCACAGTAAGTAGTCCCCCACCCCCGTTTCCCGATGTCTCCCCTTACCAGCGCTCTCCAGGGAAGGTCCCGCTTGCATCGGTCGTACCAGGCGAGCAGATTGCGGCGCAGGGCCTCGACCTCAGCCGGGTCGCTGAAGAGATGCCGGGCGGGCGGCGGAGCGGGCGCTGCAGCCGGGGCCCCTGCCAGAAGAGCGGCGCGAGGTCAGCGCACGGCGGGAGACGGCGAAGGGCTGCAGGGCTCAACCGCAGCAGAGGCGGGAGCCCGACCGAGCCGCTGCCGGGTGGACGCGCACCGAGTACCGGGCTTTACGCGGACCCAGCAAGCACCGGACAGAACACCCCAGCTCCCCCAGCCCTCCCGCTGCCGGGCACCTCCGCGGGGCGATGCACGCTTCCTGCTCCGCCCCCGGGGTGGGGCCGCGCTCCCGCCGCTCCGCCGGAGCGCCCCGGCCATGGCCGCCGCCCGGCCCCGCGCGGGGCTCATGGCACCGTCGCTCCCGCCGCCGCGCGCGCTTTCCCGGGAAAACCTGCCCCGCCCCACCCCCTAGCCACGGCCAATCAGAGCGATGGGCCCCGCCCACCGCCGCCCGCCAGCCAATCGAAGGGAAGTGCGCGGGGCGGGCTCGTACCCGCCCTCCCTCGGAACGCAGGAGTGAGGGGCGGGGCTTCCCGGAGTGCTGGAGCCAATCAGCAAGCAGGGAGCAAAAGAGGCCCGCCCCCGCTCCCGCCGGTCCGAGCGGCCGCTCGGGAAGGACCCAAAGGAGCTGTTCCAGCTAAACGCCTGTTGACTTAATTCTAAATTCGGTTGAAAACGGATTTTGAGAACGGTAAAAAACCCCACCGGGGCCGGCAGAAGCCGGGCCGGCCGCGAGGGCGGGCGGCGCTGGGCGCGGAGCGGGCAAGGCGTGCGGGGCCCGCGGCGGGCAGGCGGCGGGCAGGCGGGGCGGCGGAGGCCCCGTGCGGGCGCGGCCATGGCGGGCCCGGCGCGGGTGCCGGTGGTGGACGTGCAGAGCGACAACCTGGCGGAGCTGTGGCCGTCCATGGTGCTGGCGCTGCGCTCCGCCACCTTCGTGGCCGTGGACACGGTGAGGCCGCGTGGGGGCGGCGGCGGCGGGGAGGGGCGCGGCCGGTCCCGGGGAGCCGCTGACGGTGTCTGTCCCCCCGCAGGAGCTGAGCGGCCTCGGCGCCAGGAAGTTGCTGCTGAGCCCGTGAGTGCCCGGTGGGGCGGGGGGTGCGTTTCTCGGTACCGGCTGCGCGGTGCCCTCTCCCCGGAGTACCGGCAGGCCGGAGCCGTCATGGCCCGTTCTCCCGTCGCCAGGTGCATCGAGGAGCGCTACAAGGCCGTCTGCAGCGCCGCCAGGACACGCTCTGTCCTGTCCCTCGGCGTCGCCTGTTTCAAGCAGCTCCCGGAGAAGGTGCGTGCGCGAACCGTGAGGCGGCCGTTTTGTCTTGGTCGGTGCTGGGAGCGGGGACGCCCTGGGAGGTGGGATTCCCCCGTGGAATTGTCGCGGCTGTTTCGGTAGCTCCCCCTGACAGGTGTCCCTGGGCTCTTTGCCTCTCTCCCTGCGCAGTCCGAGAACACGTACCTGTGCCAGATCTACAACCTCACGCTGCTCTGCACCGAGGATTATGTGGTCGAGCCCCAGTCAGTGCAGTTCCTGGTGCAGCACGGCTTCGACTTCAACAAGCAGTACTCCCAGGGGATCCCTTACCACAAGGGCAACGACAAGGTACAAAGCCACTCCCTCTCAGACACGTCAGCCTGCTCTGCTCCACGTTTCTGGGGGTGTGCTGGCTTCCCCTGCTCCTGCATGAAGGTGGGCACACCCTGGGCTCCTGCCTGCAGCATTATCCCTTTCACCTCCCTGCTGCTTTAAACCCACTGCTTGCAGTTGCTTTTCCAAACGTTTGTGTCTCTGTTCAGAGTCAGTCACAGCTGTGGGCAGCATGCTCTGAGGGCTCTCCAGGGTGACAGCCAGTCAGGGTGCCCAGGCTCACTGCCGGATCCTCCCTCGTGCAGGGCAACGAGAGCCAGAGCCTGAGCGTTCGGACGCTGTTCCTGGAGCTCATCCGGGCCAAGAAGCCGCTCATTCTCCATAATGGCCTGATCGACCTGGTGTTCCTGTACCAGTGCTTCTACGCCCACCTCCCGGAGAACCTGGGCACCTTCACCGCCGACCTCTCCGAGATGTTCCCGGCAGGAATATACGACACCAAGTACGCCTCGGAGTTTGAGACGCGCTTTGTAGCCTCCTACTTGGAGTACGCCTACAAGAAGTGGTGAGCAGCACGCTGGTACTCAGAGCTTACAGAATCAGTGTGTTTGTTTTTTCAGGCAAGGGGGCTGTGTCCTTTCACTGTCCCACTGACTGAAGGTGCTTTTCAGGTGACACTGCCCTGTGCTTTTTCTGTTTCTAGACTGGCTTTGTTTTTAATAGGCCTTACCTATTTGGTGGGCAGCAGCTGAAAGAGAACTTCAGAACTGGTGCCAGTAGCAGACTGACCACAGTGGCCTGGTCTGAGATCTAATTGTGTCACTGCCTGGCTCTGGTCCAGCAGTGCCACAGGGTCATGGCAGGACATCACACAGAAAAGAAACCAGGGCTGTCCTGCAGGTCTCCTAATTATAATTCTGTTTTGTGAGGGACGCTGCAGTTAAAGGATGGATGCTCCCTGCACTCCTTGACACTGACCAGCTCTGTCACACATCCTGCACACAAGATGGCCATGGCCCACTCTGACTCCCATCACTTCCTTCCAAGCAAGGGTTGTGCTCTTGTTCAGGACACACATCTGTGCTTTGCAGTTTGGCCCCACATTCTGCAGGCCCCGCACAATCTAAACAAGCCCCTGGCCCCTGATAAAGCCCCTGGGATCTCTATAAAGCTCAAGTCATGCTCTGTTTTGAGGAGAAATGGTACTTTTTGTGACTGTTTTATCTCAGGAAATGCCAGTTTGACAGGTTTGAAAACATTCAAGAAGGCTGTTCTCAAAACATGAGAGTGCTTTGTTTTGACAAGATAAAAATAACTTTCTAAGCTAACGTCTTAAATGTTTTAACCCCAGTTCTTGTTAGGTAGAGCCTTCCAAAGGTTTTGAGCTTTTAACCAGCTCTTGGAACAAAACAGAGATCAGATTTTTTTTCATTAAATGAAAACCCTTTCCTTGTTGCCTGCATTGCCCAGGTTCAACCTGCCTGGGTGGTGACTCCTGGACAGTCTGCACAGTACCTCATTTTGGGGCATCTTTTCCTTGTCCGTTACCATTATGAAGACAAACACATACCTTAGTGCCCTTTATAGTTAAAAAAACAAACTGCCTCCCCTTCTTCTGTAACTTCAACAAAGATGCTGCTTTCCCTTCCTCTATGTCAGCATAAGAAAAAAAACCCTTTAAACCAGCATAGAAACAACTACTTACTAAAGTTGCTCTCCTGGGATTGAATTCCTTTCCAGCATCTGGGGCTGGAGCTCAGGAGCAGGAAAGTCACGGAGTTGAGAGTTGGTGGAGGGCAGCGTGTGCTCCGTTCCCTGGTCCCCTCCCACAGTAACCGTGTGCTCCTCTCGTTGCAGCAAGCGAGAGAACTGCAAGCTGAGGGAGTCGAGCGCACAGCACCTCACGGTGGAGTTCTGCAATTACCCTGCCGACATGTCCCGCTACATCGACTACCGCTACTGCTCTCTGGAGGAGGACAGCCACAGCAGTGCTGCAGGGGGCAACAAGGTGCCTGTCTGTGAGAAGTTTTCAGTAAGTAACACAAATCCCCGCTCCCTTCCTGACTCCATGGAAAGGGGCACACGTGGCCCGAGCCAGAAGTTGTAGGAAAGCAGCTGGCAACTCCCCCTCGCCTGCTTCATAGTACAAGGAACATTTTCAAGCTTCAGGTGGCTTCATGGCAGACAGGGCAATAGTGTGCTCTGCTTGGAGGTGGGGAATCCTACAGGCTTCATTAGGAAGATTCCAACAGAGTCTATGGCCCTAAACAGTGGGACAGTATGAGTCACAGTATCCCTTGCTGTCTTGGGGAGGCTGCAAGTTCTGCCTTAGTTTGGCTTGTCCTACAAGAGAGAAGTGCCACCTCTACCCTTCCCTTTACCTTCATTAGATATAAAAATTATTACCTGTTTGCAGCTTCTGGCACTGTAGCACATGGTGGTCCACAAGAGCTCGTCCTTGTGCAGCTACAGCAGCAAAGAGCCCATCTGGTCAGATCATAGCTGGCTTCAGGTGCTTCATGGAGAAAAGGAGCTCTCCCACATGTTGTACATTCTGTCACAGAACATAAGTTAGGGAAATCTCTGGAAGTTTCTCATCCAACCACGATCTCAGTGTTGCTCAGAGCCTTGTTTGGTAAATTTTGAAATTGTCTAAGGACAAAGATTAAAAAACCACTCCAGGTCCCTGTTCCAGTGCTTGACCACTACATGAAAAATGTTTTCTAGTCATAATTTCCCCTGACTGTTGCCAGGTTTCCTCTCCCTGTGCTCTCACAAGAGTTTAGCTCCATCTTGCCCATAACCTCTGCTGTAGGTACTGCAGATACCAACTCGATATCCCACTCCCCTTAGCCTTGTCTTTTCCAGGCAGAACAAACCCACCTTGCTTGGCCTTTGCCCATATGCTGTGTGCTGCACCAGTGCAGTGTGGCAGCACCTTTGCTGTGTGCTGGGGGGCTGTAACTGGACACTGCTCCTGCTCCAGCCTCACAGACCCTCAGTGGGAAGGAATAATTAGCTCCACTCCATGTTATGGTGATTGCTGCTCTAACCAGTAGGATGGAGGCTACAGACCCCTCTCTCTTTCTTGCTAGGCCTATGGGTGGTGTCCAAAAGGGGTGAAGTGTCCAGAGTCTCATAACATTGACCTCATCATTGACGAGGACGACAAGCTTTGGGAGAAGCGCAAGAAACGGAAGCACAGATGGAAGCATCGCAAGAACATGAAAGTGCTCGCAACGGCATTCCAGCAGGAAAGCTCAGGGGACAACATGGAGCAAGCTCAGAACGGGGAGGAGGGACCACCACGGAAGCAGAGCTGCTATGAGCCTGCAGCTGCCATAGAGCTGGCAGAGATCACACCCAACGGGGAGGGCAGGCCACTGGAGGAGATCTCCATGGACATGGAAACAGAGGTCAGCTCAGACACCAGCACACAATGGGAAGAGAATCTGGGGGGCACTGAAAGAACTGACCAGGGAACAGCTGCCCAGAGCCCTTCTGCCAGGGGAAATGCCTCTGACAGTGACCAAGCAGAGAAGAAGTCCAAGGTTGGGTCGGGCTCAGCCAGTCACCCAGCCACCCGTGAGACTGAGGCAGCAGGTGCTGCAGGAAAGAAGGAAGCCCATGGCCCTCCTTCCCAGGGGGGCACACACCGAGCTGGCTTTGATGCGTTCATGACTGGCTATATCATGGCTTACGTCTGGATGCTCAAGCAGGGGAAAAACACAGACCCCAGTGCAGGGCCCTGGTTGCCAGACTGCCATAATAAACTGTACCTCAGTGGGAAATCAGTGCCACTGCAAATAGTGAAGAGCTTGTTTTCTAAATCTTCCAAAGCTCACAGCGAGAAGATAAAGTTGGCCTGGGACACTGCATAGAGCTACAGCACTCCTCACTAAACTGCTTTTTTTGTCTCCTCCAAGTTTTGGAGTTCTTTTTTCCATCAAGAACTTGCAAAAAAGGGAACAGGTTTCATATTCTTATTTGTGTTTTAACATCTGACCCATTAAATTGCTCTCAGTTGGAGTTGCCCGTGTTCCTTAGTGGCATGCAGGGATGTGAAGGCAGAGATGAGGCTGAAGGGGGGCAAATGTGCCTTTGGTTAGAGCATGCAGAGATGAGACCTTTGCCCCTACAGGAGAGAAGGGAAGGAGAAAATTCCTCGCACATGGGAATGTGCTGATTCTAGAGCTGGCTAACTGCATGCAGAACCAAGCCAGAGCAGGTCTTCAGACTTGTTCCAAGGGCAGAGGCAGTGGGGCTGAAAGCCAGATATGGGATCCTGAGAAACTGCACAGCTTCCTGTGCTACTAAAGCTAATTAGGGCTAGAACAGAGCAGCCACCATGGCAAGCACCCTGCAGGCTACTGTCAAAAGCCATCTTATCTGGTAGCTCACAAGACACAGCCAGAGCAGAAAAAAAAAAATCCTTGAGTCTCATGGATTCAATAGTGGAACTCTTCAATGAGATGCAAGAGAGAAATAACATTTACTGAGGATGAGTTTTCCTTGGGTATAACTCATCACTGAGTAATAGCAAATACAATCTCAATCCAGGGATTAATGGCATTTCTATTTTAAGTAAGCATTCAAGCCAGCTTTTTTAACTTAAAGCAGTTGTCCTCTTAATCACAAGACTCAGGCCTTGATTTCATTTTTATTTTGAAAGCAAGTTGGGAAAGTTTACAAAACCTGACCAAGAAAAAAATTATGAAAATATTTAAGTGGATTCATCTTTGGTTACTTCTTATTGCAGTTCCAATAAAACATACACCATTTCTATAGTTCAAAAAAGTCAGAAGGTCAATCAACATAAAAACAAGACGTACTTTCTTTACATATTCATAAATATCTGCAATATTAGAAAAGTTGTTTCGCAAAGATTTTTTTTCTGGCAGTGTTAACTTACTATTATACACAGGCTACAAACTTCTTCCTAAGCCTTTAATTACAAGTTCAGCTATTTACAGACTGCAAAATATTAAGACGTAAAACTCCTTCATAAATACGAAAATAGATCATCTCGCAAAGATCTTTATACTTAATCAAATATCTGGCTGCCCCTCCTCCCAAAAAAAAAAGGTTATTTGTTTTGCATAGAAATGTAGTGACATGCAATATAAACAATAGCATTAAGTGCAAACAGGAATTATTCAAGTGTCTTTAGTTGTACTGGCAAAAAATACCAACGTTCTGTTACACATAATACATCAATGCCTCTCCAACAAGTACAAGTCTGCTACAGCCCCTTGGCTGTGCTGCTTTTGAGGGGCAGCAATTCACATGCATTCTCCTGGCTGCACTTTATCAACCTGCAACCACAACAAAAATAGCTTATAACAGACATTTAATTGAACTCAACATAGATTTAAAGTGAATTAAAAACATCTTTGATCTCTTCAGGGAGATGTGTAGCAATGTGTAGAAAGTACTTTAAAAGAGCAAGAACTGCTCCTGTAAAGTCAAAATCATGGTAAAATCCAATCACGATAAAACTTTGTCACGTCACTATAAAACAAGGAGTTTGCTGACCATATGTTCAAATTCATGTTTATCAGTGGCTGTCAGAAAATGGCCCTCTGTAGAAAAGCAACCTCAGTAGGCACAAAACCTAGGAATTACTAGGTGCAGCCTAGATTCAGCTTTATGCAGCCAAAGGGATGAGATGTTGTGACTTCCAACTGCATCCTTGGAAACACGGGGTTTCAGCAATCACTTTGCAATTTTTAAAATGACCTTTTACTCCGGTTTCATACTTGCCTGTTCCCATGCAGACCAATCCAGGAAAGGCCTGAGCTGCTACTCCTTGGCATTTCTGTTTCTGACATCTCCACCTCAGTACCAAGAGCCAGAAATGTTGATAGCTGTGCCCAATGCATGTCAATTGGTTGTGCTTAGAGCGGACATTTAAGAAAATAAAATTTTATCTCTGCTGCTTTGTAAGAGCTGTTCAAGGCAGGGAAACGTCATAAAGACAGCAGTGTAAGAGAACAGTGAGGTCACTGCAGTGGGTGCCCTGGGGCAGCCCCAGCTGACTGCTCAAGCTTTGCAGTCAGTGTCAGGCAGGGCTCATGATGAGGTGTCAGCACTGACAGACAGGGCTCGCTCAGGGGAGCCCCAGGGCAGCCAGAGGTGTGCGTGTGCTCTCCGGTCAGGCTGCTGGGCAGCTTCCCTCAGCCTGGTGATCCAAAAGTAAACTACTCATTATTGCTTCTTTGTCTGAAGTCACACACCTAAATGCATCTTGTGACAACAGAAGCTGGTGCTGATGGTTTCCCTCCCAGAAGATACAGTTGTAGCAAAGATAAAACGATTTAAAAATGAAAAAAAAAAGCAAGCAGGCACCAGGCAGGCAACAGTGTTTCTCTGTCCTCAAAGTTACACACACACAGTGGCAGCCATACAGGCTGCTCTGCACTCTGCAGACACAATGCAGAAGACAGAGACTACTCTGCAGATAAGCACCTTCAAGAGGCAGAGAGATGTGGGCCAAAAGGGGTGATCTTAATGAGCACAGGTATTTTCTCTTTTGAGCTGTCAACAGCTGCCTAATCTGGCATGGACTGTATTAAATAACTCCGCAACACTGGGCTTCTCCTTTCATTCATAACAGCCACTGCAAAGGGAGAACTGCCCAGGTTAACACACACTTCACTAGAGGAAGTCACAGCTGTAACTCCTAGAATAGCTACCTACACCTCAGGAAAGATACACATCCCAGCCAAGAAAGAACTATGGCTTTCTCCATCCTTTCTTTGAGATGGGAGAAGAGTAGAAATAGTCTGGCTTCCATCAGAGACCAGCTTACAGTATCCAGCCTTACAAGAGAGCAGGAAGACTGTAACAGGCTACCTGGATGAAAATCTGGACTCTGCTGCATCACCATCTGCTCAGCAGGTGTGCAATGTTTACCTCACTTAGGAATGATAATATAGATTAAAAAAAAACCCCATAAAATAAAATTTTTTAAATCCCATGTTTTTTGGGATGATGATAGTGGAAAAGGGAAGGATGTTGCACAAATGTCACAGAATGAGCTTTCCCATACATTGCATCCCAGAGCAGGGATTGCTGATGATGGTTCCAGCAAGCAGCATTAAAGCTCATGTTGCTGCTTCTTTCACAGGTACCCGCTGGTCAAGGGAAGTAAAAAAAAAAAAAAAAAAAAAAAAAAAAAAAAAAAAAAAAAAAAAAAAAAAAAAAAAAAAAAAAAAAAAAAAAAAAAATATCCTATTCAGTGACAGGAGAAACCAATAAAAACAGCAGCTTCTTTCTGTAGAGGAAACAAAAAGTCAATTTAGGACAAGCCCTCCTGTGAGCTGCCCTCTCCAAGAGCACTTGTGGGGCTACAACACTGCTGGCAACTCCCCCTAAGCAGGAGATTCCTGTCCTCTGTCAAGCAGGCTAGTGAGGAACCATCATTACTGCAGTGAAATCAGTGAGATGGATGCTGTACCAGAGAGGGAGGTGTATGTGACCCTTCTAGCTTAGTGATAATAGTCAATTGTGATGTAGCTACTCTACTTAACTATTCTGCAGAAACAGATCACGATGTCCACTCAGCTCTTCAGAGATAAGGGCCCACCCCCTGCCAAAAGCGCAGTACAGCTGGTACTTTCAGGAGCAGTTTCTTCAGAAGCCCAGAAATGGCAATGCCTGGAATATGCTTCTCTGTGCCCTGGGCAAATCTTCCTCCACATTTGGGCTGAGGTACATAAAGAGCTGTACAAGGAAGCGAGCTTCCCTGCACAAATGTATTAAACATCATTACTAAATCCCAAGGGAAAATGAAACACCAGGGAACAGATTCTTCTTGTTAATCACAAAGTACTTGTCATGTGACTCAGCCTGCAGATTGTGACCAGCATGAGGGGTTTTGTTTTTGCTGCTTTTGAAAGAAGAGCTTGTTTAATGCTACAACAGCATTCAAAGCAGCTCTGGGACTAGAGAGCATTCCTATCTGCTCAACATAGCTCAGAAAGACTTCTGTGCCTGTTTCTGAAACACAGGCTCTGACTCAGGTGCACTGGTGCAGAATGTTAATGAAAAATATGCAGTGGCTTAGAGCAGATGTTCAGTTAGAGGAAGAGGGAAAAATCTAAGGGTCATTCTTTCTACTTTACATGGAGCTTAAGACCTTAAAATGCCCCATGCTGGAAATCCAGGTCAAACTGTTTAATGGTGCCTGCTCTGGCTGCTGCCTCCAGGAAGGGCTGTGGGACCCACATGGCCATTCTGGCTGGAGTAGTTCCCCCTCCTAATTCAAATCAGGAAAGGGAATAAGCACAATTTGAAATAAGGTTTTATAAAATGATCAGTCTCTTCCGACAATGTCTGCAGCTATCTGTCCTACAGCCAGCTTGGTGAGTCTCTTTCAGATGTGAAGCCCAGCACTGCAGAAAAGCTTAGTTTAAGCAGCTGGGAACAACTCAAGGACACATTCAGTTTGAGCCCTCTCTTCATATGTCACAAGCTGACTTTGTGCTGCCACTTGCTGAGATGTTGGAGGAGGTCTGAGACAACAGGGCAGGACTGTCCCCATCCTGCTCCCTGAAGGGCCATGCCTCTCTCTTCAGCTCTGTGGGAGGACTAACACTGAACAGAGGCTTTGCAGGCTCCAACAGCGTAATTTTCAGTAGGTCATCTTCTACCTCCATCTCTTCAGAAGGGAGACAACCTGCAAACACTTGTGGGGAGCCACGTCCCTCAGAGTTCACTGAATTCTCAACTGGGAGCTTTTTGTAAGACGGCCCGGACTGGGCCAGCACTAATGGTTGATCACATGCTGGATCTCCACATGTGTTCTCAACAGGGCAAAACCCATTTTCCTCCTGGGCCACTGGCCCATCTGAACAGTCCATATCCTCTTCTTGTCCTGGTGCAAGAAGAAACTCTGTTCTGTGAGGCTTGGCGTGAAAGGGGGGAATCTCTGACACACCATATTTAGTGCTACTCAAGAGTTTTTGCCGAACCTCTGCACCTAACTGGGCTGGGTCACACCTGCCAACAGTTGAAGACAGTCCCCCAAAGAGGCCATATTCCTTGTGTGCTAATTCAGGAGAGAGTGGAAGCGATCTGCATCTCCTCCCAGGAAGAAGGGAAAGGTCTTGCCAGTCTGTGCTGTACGCCTGCCGGAACTGGGACTGGCTGGCTTTCAGGCCTCCACCCGCCTCTGGAGAATGCAAGTCGAACACAAGGGAAATCACAGACTTGCTTGGCATGTCAAAGAATTTGATCTTTCCCCCCTTGAGGTCCTCCCGGGCGCTGAAGGGGTTAACTTTGCGGCCTAACCCTTTGCTTGGTGTGTAGTAGGGGTCCTGCACGTTGATCTTCCGGGAAGGTTTGCGAGAGAAGATATCCGACTGGCTGCGGGACAACCAGATATTGCGGCGCGGACGGGGTGACTTGGGCGGGATCTTATCATCCAAGGAACTCAAACGTTTCACTCCTGGTCCTTTGTCAATTGATCCTGAGTAGAAAAAGAGAAACACTCTTAGCTTAAAGAAGCTCCCTATAGCTGTGCACCTGCTCACTCACAGAGCCTTCATGAGCACTGTAAAGAAGAAAGCTGTGTTTCTGATATTCCAAACTGTGTTCCATAAGCACATCTCTGCTCCTTCCTTGTAAGTTGCTGCACAAACACAAGCACACCATTCTCTTCTCTTTTCCTCATTGTATTTAGGGCCCCTGCAAACCTCCTTGCTGCCAGTACACTGCCACAGCAGAGATGGCACAGGGTGGTGTTGGAGAAGAACAATTTGCATGTTTCTAGATTTATCCTCCTGGCTTCCAGCAGAGGTTGCCCAGGGTCTGTTAGTGCTACTGATCACAGAAGAGAACCAGTAAAAAACATGGTAGCCAAAGAATTTGGCACTTGTTCACCCTGATGGGAAATGTCTAAGACAAAAAAAGTCTCCCCTTGTACCATACAGATTTTAAGTCATTCTATCCCAGCCTCCTTTGAGTACATTATCCAATACAAAACTGGAGATATATCAGAGTCTGACCCTAATGAATAGGAGTTTAAAAGTTGTACATATGCCTGTGTATTTGCACTCACAGCACACACACACATTTATAAATAAAAGCTGTATCACTAGATTAGGATGAGAAACTGGTAGATGTTAACTCCCCAAGTGTTTGGAACATGCATCTGTCATGGGCTCTCAAGGTGCCTCTGAACAGCTGTGTTAGAGAGCAATAACAAATGGGTATAAGAAGTGATATCTCCTTTTGACTAACATTTCCAGAATAAGGACATGGATTTTCACTTTTCCCTTTAAATATTGTCACAGTTTACACTACAGCCATTCCATGTAGGAAAGACTATGCAAGTCAAAGAACAGCATGTAACACTTCTTTGAGAAGTACTTGTTTTGTACATGTACTCCAAAGGAAGAATACCAGAAAAAAAAAAAAAAAAAAAAACCAAAAGAAAAACCCCAACCCAAGCAAAAAAATCCTAAACAAACAAACAAACTTCCTTTTTAACTCACACCTCTTTTAGATGCTTTCCAGGTGTGGGAGAACTACCACATGCATTAACTCTATGTGGCTTAACATAGAGAAAAATTATTTCGATCTACAAATATATTACAGATCAATAATTATGTCTATATGTTGCATATTGGTATATCCACATAATATAAGAAACTATTTTAAATGTACTCTTGAGTTTCTAATGCCAGAAGTGTACTAACATAGAACACCCAAGTCAGAATCCAGCCCAGGCTACAAGTGTTTGCTCCCCACACCAGGTGGCACCAGACAGCTTTAGAGAAAACCTTTCAAGGCAAACATTCCCAAGCAGACCTGGGACTCATCTTTTCTCGTCTTTCAGAGTATTTCTAGGTACTTTATAATACTCTTGCTTCTTCTGAGCTCTTCCTCCTGAAGGAATTTAAGAAGCCTCTAAATATTACAAGTAACATACACCAAAGAAATTATGTATATGTACAAAGTATGGCAGTGATAAATCAAAAATTTATGGGTTTTCATATACTATCAGCAATTTACAAACCCATTCCCAAATGAATCTAAATTTCCTCTCAAAATCTTGGGGACAGAATATTATCAGGCACTTTAAAAAACAGCTGTTTTTTCACCAAAGGACATTCCACAATGCAAAGCATAGAGCATTGCTCCAGAATAATTTTCAGGGTTTGTGTAAAATCATTCATAAACCATAAATAAAACCATATATAGCCAAATATCAGTTTTCAAAATATGAAGCTTTTCCTCCTCTCCCTGTGAGCACCCAGCAATGTTTGTACAATACAGACATTTACCTTTTGGTTTTCTTTCATTGTTGTCAAGGTTCACGAACTTTCTGTCTCTCTCCGAGTCCTCATTTCTCAGGCGGTTTAACATTTCCTCCAGTGTTTTGACAATATCAGCAAATGAAGGACGCAGCTTTGGATCCATCTGTGAATGCACACAAATCAAATAAGTCCATGTGGGTTTGTCCAAGCTATTCTGCTTACACAGTGGACAGAGAGAGGGACAACCTGAGGAAACTGAGGAAATTCAAAATGGTTTTAAGTGTGTTGTCATTGCAAAAAAAAAAAAACACCAAAAACAAAACAAAGAAGGGAAAAAAGCAGTATTGTATCACACCTCTCACATTCAATAATAAATTTGTAAATATTCTATGAAAACAAAAAATTTTAAATTTAAAAGGTGGGAAACTGCCAGATGCATGGCTTGTGAAGGGGTTTGCTTGAAACAGCTTGGATAGTTCAGGATTTCTTTCTGGATTCTTTCTGGCTATCAAACAATGATTATGTACCAATGTTATTTCAAAAGGATTGCACAAAAAATATGGCTATGTCAGTCTTTAAAAGATTGTAATTATTCCATCATCTCCTTGTGGCTTTAATTAAAACACCTAAATGGCGGTGCTGATCTTAAAGCTGAAAATGTTGTATTTTTCCATCTGTTAATTAGCCATACTATTCAGTGTACTGGTCTGTCTTGAAAGGAAGCAAGGGTGGTTATATAATTTGACAAAGCTATAAATTAGGAAAAAGAAAAATCCATCTTTTGCAGGTAAAATATTCCCCCTGCTCATCACTATGTATTAGTCTGTATTTCTCAGTACGTATTTATTTATTCACTCTGGCAGATACACATCTCTAAACAAAGTCCAACACTAAAATTGTACCACAGGGCAAGCAGCTTCCTCTAAGGAGTAACTCTGAAAGAATTTCATCACTTTGAGCATTGACTGTGTATGTATGTCACAGGCTTCACCACTGTAGGTAACAACATCTAATTCAGCAGCCTAAAGTTAACTTTATTCCAGTAACAAAAACGATTCTGCTTGACCTGATTGCTGTTTCCAGCCTGCTCAAGGCTTTCTCAGAGTGGACAAGCCCAGACAGATCCCACCTCTACAATGGGAACAGTAGTGCTTTGTACACAACAAACCCCAAAGACCTCCCTGGTACTGCCCTGCAGGTTGTTTGAGATGGATCTTTCTGAAGCAACTGGTATGATCAGCAATGCCAGAACACCTTCTAGCACAAGGGGAAAAGTGCTAAAAATTCCTATGAACAGTAACAAAAACTGAACAAAGAAACCACACTTGAAGAACTCAACAGCAGCAAGAAAACTGTTCTAAAGCAGCAGCTGGAATTTACTGGCATTGGAAAATATTTTTCTGCATTCCCTGTCTCACTGAAAGAGTAGGGCAGGGGCAACACTGAAGCACACACTGTACTCTGACAAATTTACTAATTTGGGAATCTTATGGAGCTGCTGCAAGCTACAGGAAGTTAGAGGAAGTAAAAAGAGCTCTCTGGCTATTTTAATTTGTGCTAGGTAAGATCCAAGATGAGAGCAGCAGTGGAAAAGTTACTCAGAGCAGTATTTGCCTCTTCCATCCCTGAGCAGTCCAGATTTTGCTCAAATGGAAGAGAAGGTTCCTTCTCAAAGCAGCAGTTGCCAACAGCTTAGCTCATCCTGGTAAGCTTTTTTTGCATGATAATTTATGATTACATTTATTAAATATTCCCACAAGTAAGCTTATAATTTTTGGGTTCTTACAGGTGCTTATTTACAAACCCCCACACTTTATAACAGTAAGTTAAATTTTAATCCACTCATAAATGTCAGTTTTTACTGGTTTTCTTAGGGTCCCTTAGAACACATTTGCTGGCTGTAGAAAATCCCAGGGCTTTGCACATTAGTTCAGCTGGGCTATACAGTTCACACCTTGTTGACCTATTACATAATAAAAAGGTACATAAATGTCCATGTCTCAGAGGAAATTACCACACTGATCACCTCTTAGTGACAGGCACAGCATGCTGAGGAAGACATAAGAAAGCCTTATCTGTTACTCCATTTTCCTTCTCCTAGGTGAGTGCCATGTGAATTCCAGCATGCCCCACACTGAAATCTGCATATTAATGGCCAGATCACAAGACAGTAATTTCCATTTCAATTCAGCAAAGGGACATTTATTATACAGGAAGCTGCATTTGACAATAATGAGCAGGAGAAAACCCTTTTTCTCTGAGCACACCAAATTCTACATGAGAATGTAAGGTCACTGTCCCTTCCTTCATTGAGAAGCTTTACTCTGAATTTCTGAGCTGAAAAATTGCTTTGAATCCTGCACCATGTGTTTGGATGCAATACCATTTCTGGAGTCTGCAGGTGGGGGCTGAGCTTTCCAAAGTCAAATCCTGCCTCTAACCAAACCCTCTAGTGCTCATGTAATCAAAGGGCCTCAAACATGAGTGAGATGTGCCCCTATCCAGGTAAAGCAAGCTCTGCTGTACTAAGGTGAAATTAGAGGAGTTAAGTAGCTCATCCATAGTAAGTTCCACAAACATTCTAAAAATTAAATTATGCTATGTGGTGCCAAGAGCAGCAGTCACTGCCCCCATTCTCACCTTTACACAACTCTCTCCTTGAGCATGGGCTATTGTACCAATACAAAGTAAAGAGAGACATCAGGTCAAAAATAACCACCAAAAGCACAGAGAGATGAGACTTCTTAAAAGCACTCACTTGGACACAATACTGGCATCAGTTCCAGCACAGCTTGGTTGAGAATCCAGGGCCAAGTTTTGTGCAGTAAATATTTTTAAAGTTGCCTATACTGAAGTTGAGCAAACTGGACATTCCCAACATCAGCTGAATGTGGTGGAAGCTCAGGTTCTCTTATTTTATATAAACTGGTTTACTATACATTGGTACTAGTAACTCTGTTACAGCATAACCAGCACAAGAGATCCACTGCCCTGGAGTTCTCACAATAAGGAGCCAGGAAGGTATCTACTATCACAATTTTAATTGAATAATTGCCAGAAAATTTTCTCCATACAGCACATGGCCTATAGCCTTACAGATAGTAAATCATTTCATTCACAGTTTGGATTTTATGACACAGGCTAAGCACTTGGATGTCAAACTCCTTTTCCAAAAGGCATCATATAGACACTTCAGAATAGTTTAGTGCCTGATCTTGATGTGTTTGTCCCCTCTGTTTGTAAGAGCAACTCAGTCCTTCCTTCATAGCTCAGTAGGCCTGCACACAACAGCAGCTGGAGTTTGTCAGCCTGAGGGTTAGCCAGTGTCAGTGGCATCCAACTGGTTATGGTCAGCCTGAGCAGCCTGCAAGAAGCTGTTCAGTGTGCCAGACCTGTTTGTTTGGCATGACAGAACACAGAACTGCAGAAACATGAGACAGACCTTTGAGCAAGGGGAAGGGAAGGATTATAAAAACTGAAAGGGCCTTCCTGGACTGCCAGAAGGTACACTGCTTCTAGAGGTAGGCTCTTCAAGTCTCTTCTGTAAATTCTTTAAGCTTTATCTTCAAAAGCCAGAGGGATTTAGAGAACTCCAGTTTAGGTCTCTCCCCTTCAAGTAAGATACTCACATTACAGCAGTTGAAGGCCAGCTGGAGGAAGTCAGGAGGACAGTCTCCCACCATGTGCTGGAAGGAATCATAATCTAATCCAAAGTTCTGTACAAACGACAAGAAAGCACAGAGAAATAAATGAGGTCTTCTATCTAACTCAAAGCATCTTCTTTTGGGAGGTCCCCATGTGAAGTTACCAGGAATAACCATGAACACCTTTCTCAGCAACCACATAACAGAGAAGTTTGAGAAAACTTCATGCAGACTCCAAACTACACATCCCCAGGGAGGATTACTGATACAGGATAGCTGTGAGAGAATGGGCTGACATCAAAGCCCATCCTTCTTCCTGGACTCAAATGCAGTCCATTGCACTTGAAATGTTGCCTGTGTGGATTTGGAAATACCATATGCTATGATGTTTCACTGTAGTGATTTTCATAGTGCAAATTACCAGCCCACTCCAAAACCAGAGGCTTTGCTATGATGGAAATGTATCAGTTAAAATAACTAAAAAGTTATTTTAACTGATACATTTCTATCATAGCAACTAACTTTTCAGTGGATGGTAAACTGGTGATACAAATTATCCAGTTCCTTAAGTGCATGTCTATAAAATCTGAAGGGCAGACTAAAAAAGAATCTTTCATTTATTGCAGTCTGAGACTTGAGCAATTTTCCATTTTTAGAAATGGAGGGGGATAGACAATTTGGAATAACCCCACAAAGGGTCAAAAGCTTCCCTGTAGATGGGATGAATAAAGAAAAAAGTATCTTTAATTACTCAATTATAGCTGAGATCCACTGTGCTTAGAAGAGTTCACACAAAAATAAGAGTTAACTTATTTTTGCTGCTATTAACACAGCTCCTGCCCCTTTCACAAGGAGGGGGCTGCTTAGTGCATAAACAATGCCAAATTGTCTGTTGTGAACCTGGCAAGAAGTCTACATGAGCTATCACTCCACAAAAGGAAGAGTTTGCATTGCAGTGCTCTCAATGTCCTGCCAGTTAGGGCAGAAAGGATTCCCATGAGGATTGCAGCTGCACAAAGCCTCTGAGAAAGTGTCTTCAATGGAGCTTCCCACAATAACAGCATAAAGAGCAAAAGCTTTTTACAGGCTATTTTTAATGTCACACCTATTCATCCTATCTTTGGCAGCAGTGGTAGAAGTTCTAAAGGCTGAGCTGTTATCATGGCAGGCTCACCACCTCCCACCAATGTTACAAACACAGCCACTTACCTCTGTGCGAGGGAGATAGTCTGGGTCTGCCTGTATCCTTGCTATAATCTCACACAGAATGATGCCATAGGAGAACACATCTGCCTGAGAGAGAAAAAATTCAATAGACACATGGTTCAGCTATGAATGCTCAGCATTCTTATCTGCCACTGAGTTTCTCCTTACCCCAAATGGCTATCATGAAACAACTAAACACCACCACAAACACTGAGCAACTGCATTAAAGCTAACATTTTCCATGTGAAGAAACCCATGCTCACAGAAAGCGTTCTTGTTGTACAAATAGCAATGATAACCTTAAAATTCTTTCAAGAGAAAAAAACCCCCACCAAACTATTCTTAATTCAGCAATGCAAAAGTTAAAAAAATTAAAAATCCTTCCTTGCACAAAGAATAGTGAAGTTCCATCTGATGTCCTACACATGGGAATAATTAAAAACATAGCCAAAACATGACATGCCCATATATCACTGTGGTTAGAAAAACAGGTTTAGAATACACAATTCACAGCCTAGCCAGAACATTAATGCTATTTTTAAGAAAAATTACGTTTTCCTCTTCTCAGGTCAGTACCTCTGGAGAAAACTGTCTTCCCAAAGCTTGAGCTATCTAGCAGCACTGTATATCAGGTTTAATTTCCATGACGTTTAGTAAGCACTTATCTGACTACCTCTGGAGCTGCACAGTTCCTCAGATTTCCACCCACCTGAATTTTTCAGGTAATAAAATTTAGGAAAACATGGAATACAAAACCACAAGGCAGAAGCATGAATCCCTCATCCCTTATATGTCACCTTTCATGCTGATGAGGTATGAATCTGCTTCCTCTTTAGTCCTCCCCATGGCAGGGTCAATGAGGAATGTGGCATCATAGATTTGGGTATTTTATTATTAATTTAGGTCAATTAAACTCTTTTAAAAGCTTTGAAATGGTAATTATTACATTCATTACTGAGGTAGTTACTGCTTTCCTGCAAGTTTAAAGTACCATTAATTAAACAGAGTATTAACTACTAGATCTAGAGAGGTACAGGAGGTGGGCTTTATCACATAAAGGCTGCACTGGCAGAGCTGAAGTAATGGAGACAAAATCCTGTGTAAAGAAGAGACTGATTGAAAACACCATTTCTAAAACTCAGTGTGACCTGATCCTCCTCCAAAAGAAACATTTCCCAATGACACAAACAGGAAAACTTAAAAATACCTTTGGAGAACATTTTGTCTTATCAAGGTGTCTCACCTTCAGACACGCTGGTTTATTTTTATATTTATACACACACACACACATATACATAGATATAGAAATAGATATACACACACACAGAATTATGCAAGTTAATATATAGACCTTGTACTTCTATCCAAGTTTCACTACTGCACAGTCAGAGAAGCAACTTTGCTACGTTTCTCAGACTTGGTTAAATTAAATCGTGTTAGGTCAACAAAACATCACTATATGTCAGTATAGCATAACAGAGAGCAATCATAAAGCCAATTCTATTTCCATATAAGATTAAACACCATGAATTACAAATATTAGCTATTTAATTCTCACTCTCCCTTAGTCTGTTTCTGTTAGTCAGTAAAAAACCACCACAAGTGAAAATAACAAGTTTTAATACGATGGAAATTCTAAATCTTGCATACTGCTACAGAAGAAAAACATTTGACAGCTAACTGCATTTATATCATGTACCTACCTTTTCATTGTAGGGCTCATCTCTGAGAACTTCTGGTGCCATCCAGAAAGGTGAACCCACAACTGGTAACTTCTCACTGTATAAATGTGGGATAGATAGGGATGGGGGTGGTGGGAGAGAAGGAAGAATCATTAATTAAATGCTCAAACATTGCTACTAACTTTCCCAATCAATTACTCCTATTTTATTTCCAGTTTAAAGTGTCCAGCTACTTTAAAATAATGTTTTATGTTAAGGTCACAGCTGTTCAATAGTTTTTATTGCCTAACTCTTGGCAGAGTTGGCTCCTTCATCTACACATAAAAAGATTTGTGGACATCAGTTTTGGGCTAAATGCCAAGTGCTCCATTCATCCAGCAAGACATTCAGGTACCCATCCCTAGATGTATGTGCAGCTCTGAATGAAGTCAAACTTATTTAATATAATAAAGATTTTAAAATTGTATTTAAAAACATAAAAATCAAGATGGACAGATGAATCCTTTAGTATGGAAAAATGAAAAGTACTCAGAGTAGACCCAATTTGAAAAACTTGCAGTTTCCATAAAGCTGAATACTGGGGCCTTAAGAAAGGCTCCAGCCTGTCACCCAGCTGATCTTGAGGGAGACCTATTTAAAAAAGAAAAGGCCTCTGAAGATACCTCTCAAAGTAGCATGGCTTGCTACCAGCAAACTGGAAAGAACAAAGCTGCTTTTGAAAATGGAGGTAAAAGTAGATAAAAACAAAATAGTGGCTAATAGTGCTAATGTAGCAATTCTATTATGTTGCTGGCTTTAGTCTCAAGCTACCTTAACTGTAATCTCAGTTTTCAGGGCATCTCAAAGCTGGGTATTAAGCACACCTCAAGGCACCTGTAGTGTCTTTCTGATTTTGTGATGGGTTCATCTGAACACAGCTGAAGCTTTCAGCACCTCACAGGGTGCTCCACAGCAGCTACAAGAGAGACATCGGCTGTACTTATCAGTGGTTTGTAAATTAAGATGTTCACTTTGTTAAGCTTTTAGATCCAATATTAATGCAAGCCTTCAGATCTCTCAATGTATGGTTTTAGGATATGTGCACTTTAAAAACTGTGCAGAGCTGAGATCAACTTTTATTGTTTTCTTTGCAGTCAAAAGTGCTGGAAGGCTTTTATTTATTTTATGCAGAAGCACACACTGGAGAAAATCTGACAGCACATTTCACAGTCAGAATACTCTGCAATACACAAGTCAATATACAGAGAGAACAATGAAATCCTTGTCCCTGATCTCTCTAATGGAGGGATGACAAAAGGACTATTTTCAGTTGTGACAATAGCTTGTGACAGTCCCCTGTGCATTCCTCAAATGAGTTAAGATTATAATTTCGTCCTAGGGAAAAGAAAATTGTGAGCTATTGCTAGACAGAAATTTTATAATTAATTTTATTTTACTCTGCTATAATCCTGGATCTTAAAAATTAACCTAGAGGTTAAATAAGAATGATGCTAGAATGACAATGAATATTGTTTATGAAAGTGCAAAGAAATGAAAGTTGCTTGAAATCAACAAATTACATTTATTACAAAATCATCCCAGTCCAGAGTGCTGGACAGTATTTTTGTGTTTGCTTTGTGTTTTGGGTTTTTTTAAACCCAAAATTCCCAAGTACCACCTTAAGAGATCTACCAAAAAGCTTGAGCAAATCCTTCAGTGCTTGGAATAGTTTTGAAGAATGAATGTCACCACTAAATATCAAAAATGGACAGTAATTAAGGCTGGAACATTTTGGCTATCCAGCCTGCAGTTCCAGACTGAAGACTGAGGATGTTTTTTGAAAATTCTGTACCCAAGTACAATAACAGTCTCAGGGACCTGGCTCACAAGAGCTTCTGGCCTGCATTTGTACTACAATTTTCACTTCATTTAGATTAGCTCACATACCTGTGATCAGGAATTTTCTCTGCTAAACCAAAGTCTCCAACTATTGCTGAGTATCCATTCTCATCATGTTTGATTAAACAGTTCTGGGGAAAAAACAAAACAAAACAAAACAAAAACCAAACAGAAGAGTTATTATCTGGGCATGAAACCTCTGTAACATTCCAGATTAAAAATAGATGAAACAAGACTACAAATATAGTTTGGAAGATATTCATCTATGAGAAGCTTTTGTCTGAGAGCAACAACCCTTTTCCCCCACCCTCCCCCTGCACAATCACATGTCTATCAAACTTAAGATGCTGCAAACAGCCTTCCACTTAGCTAATAATCCACTTAAAAACTTGCTGAGAAGGCAGGCAGGCAGCCACAGGCAGCACATACCCTGCTAGGTTTTAACAAGAATTAAGATGATTTAGCTCCCTTATGCTCAAATATGCAATACATGCTGTTCACTATGACACCTTACATTTTCTCTTTACAATTTGCCTGTACCTGACCAGAATACAAGATCAGAGCAGACTCTAAATGCCTTTCTGTTTTGTTGCATTGACTACTGAAAAGGAACTTTCTGCTTTGCAAAACACTTCCATCAGAAAATACATGACCAAGTTATATGTGCTTTTAGAGTCTCAAAATTCTTTACAGTACATCATAAGACATGACTTAAGAGAAATGTAATAGGGAAACGCTGTCATTCTTTTCCTTTCAGATGTGCCCTCCAGTGTCAGGATGGAGGGCAACTTCAGGACACACAGAGATAATTGTGCTCTAACAGCATCACATCCCACACAGGCTATTATTGATTTTTTTGTTTTTTATTTACAACTCTGAGAAATATGCTCTGACCATTCTAGTACCACATCTTTTCCCATTGCACCAAATGAATCCATAGCTGATTCCCTGCATTTTGTCCTGTCCTGCAATGGATGGAACAAGACAGAGAATTCATTCCTTTCCCACGTGTAGTTCTGTATGCTCCTGCAGGCAGTACAATAGCAGCGAGCAGCAAACCCATGCCGACTCCTGCCGGGTGGTACCCTGCATTAATTAGCTAAACAGCAGGAAACACTTTCTGCCTTTATTGTGCCTGGACACACAAAAGCCCCTCGCTGACCCCAGAGCATTAGCTTGTCTGTATAACGCAAGCACCAAGAAAAGTGAGTCCCTTGTCTAAAAGATCAAGTTCAGGTCATCACTGTTTACATTATTCAGAGACGATTGTGGCTGAGGCCATGAAGTGAGTTTTCTTCCTGCCAATTAAAAGGTTAAGCGAGCCACTCCTGTGATTGTGTAAAGAAAGTGCATGCCAGCCTCTTGAAACACAGGCCAGGCTCCTGAGATGCAAAGCTTTATTTGTTTAGCATGACTCAAGTATAACAACTACAGTTAGTTTGGGGATCCATAAACATGCACCAAGTTAAATCAACTGTGCTTGCCCAAAGAGCAGCAAAGCTTCTCAGTTGTGAGCTTTGTTATCTTTTATCAAAGAGTGCATTCATTCAGCTTGCCTCTCTTTAAACATTTGGTCACAGTAAGTGGACTTAAAACTGAGAAGGATAAAACTACTGAAAAATCTTACTCAAATGATTCAGACAAGTGGAATTTCATTGTGTACCACACAGAAACAAGTCCATGAGGACACCAAAGATTTTGCAGTGTTCAAGAAGGCTGATACTATGCTATGCGGAAAAAAATTCAGGTTACTTTTCTGCCATAGATTTCTCAGTGACTAAAGATGATTCTTAATTCAACATTTTTTTAAAAAAACCTCTATAATTCATAATCACTAGTTTTGAAATGTAGGTTTCCTTCTTGCATTATACCTTTGATTATTTACATTTTATTCATTTTGAGAAGCAAGACAGCAGTACTTAATTTTACCTTCTGGGTTTTATGGATTATTGTCATTCTTCAATAATCCCTGATCTCCAAAATTTTGAGGAAACATTTCCATCCCGACTAAGAACTATTTTCAACGTAACTAAAAATCTGTCTACTGATTTTAAGATCCACAATAATTTACAAGTCTGCCCTGTTACCAAAAGGAAGCTTAAATGAAGCATCATCCTGACAGCAAATATTCCTTCAGGTTCTTACCAGGATCTAATCTCATCCCGTTAGACAGCGATACATCAACTGAAGCTGAACAATCCCACCCCCCACCAAGCCCCAGGCAGTCTCAGCTTTCAGGTGCAGCACTGAACTATTATACAAGTAGGTTATTCCTAGATAAATCATACATTAAATCAATGCTGCCTGACAGCTCTGAGCCCCCTCCCCAGTGAGGATTTGCCTGCAGCAGAGCCAGGCTCCCTTGCAGTGCAGCACAGACACCCCACTGCTGTGGGGGCCACAGGTCCCACAGGAGAGGCCACTCCACAGGACAAGGCACCAGGGGAAAGCCTTGGAGAACATTCCTGCTGTAGGGTACTGATATGAGCTGTGCTGCTGTGTTCTCTCTCATTAGTGCATGCTTGTCTTTTGTTTGCACATGAAGTGCTGAGTGTACATTTAAGTTCATTAGGATATGTAGTCCAATACAAGAGTGACTTTTTTATTCACACTTAAATCAGCCACAAGCAGGTGACATGTACCATACAATAAAATTCCAGTGTCACTACAAATGCTCACTGTAGTGAAACTAAACTGATTTAATTCATCTGGGGCAAATTTTTACATAGCTAAGCACTGGCTTCCTGGAACCCAGAAAGAATGAAAGCCCATTCCTAGCAAAATCAGCAGTAAACCCTTTCTACATACACCAGCATGGTCAGATGTCTCTTCTCCGGCCTGTACTGCTCATTCAGGGCAAGACTGTGCAGATGGTAAAGCTGCATTCTGTGCTGAGATCCTCCAAGCAGTCAAGGTGAGCCCTCAGCACCACCACACTCCCCACCCTAGTAATGGCAAACCCCAGCACAGATAATGGAGTTTCCAGACTTAAGATGCAAGTCATAAATAGGTGACATAACACAGCCCACTGTGGTTCTTGTGCACTCAATGAAAGACAGAAAGAATTCACATTCTACCAACAAGATAAATCAAGATCAAACAGGGACAAAGCTTTGGTAGAGACTAGAAGGTTAAAAATAGCTTTTGAATTTAATCTAGAGGTGGTATCTTAGTAGGAAAAGTACAATAGTACAAACTGCACTGTTTCTTCTAACAAAGTGATACTTCTCAGTTTCTGTAAAAAAATAGTATATCAGTGTGGTATGAAGAAGTTCCATTAATGGATTTTAGCTCAGAGATGCAAGAGTTCAAACCCCTCACTAGTGCAAAGAGCCTCTCAACAACTGCCTATGAAATGAAATGCCAAGCAGCTTCACAACACGAGCTTTGAGAAAGGACTTTTGACTTACTCTTGCACTATTTGTATAAGCTGCAAGGCAATAAAACTTGGTGACCTTTTCAGGCTTTCTTTCTGGACCTCTACAGACAGGGATGTCTTTCCTTTGGCAGCTAACACTATCAAAGAGGGCAATATTTGACTTCAGCTGAGTTTTTGAAGGTTTTTTTTCCTCCCAAAACAGGGACCTCATCAGTCCTTCCTGAGGCAATCTCTTAATAGAAGCAAGGAGCTCTGTACATGAGTCTGAAAGAGTTAACAGAGCTGTTTATGCAGACAGATGTGAAAGAACATAAAGCCCCCTTTGTGTGTTACAGGAGCTTAACATCTGCTTTGCACAGCATAATCCTACTAAGACCAATGCAATATTCTACTCCCCCTTTTATATAAACAAAAATGAAAATAGACTCAAGAGTTTCAGAGTTAAAAATAAGTTGCTTAGATGAAGAAACATCGCAGTTTTATTTTATGATATTACATACAAACTAAACTCCCCAGAGATTTTAGTGCACTCCAGAAAACACAGAAATGCCACTGCAGTGTCATTTGCAACCTTCTGCTGACTGTTACCAAATTAAAATACTTAAAGGCCAATTGAGATGTATCAGCTGTTCAAAAAGTGTCTCCTGTTTCCCCCAGGAGAAACCCTACTGAGAATTAAATGTGTAACAGGAAGTTTACAGTACTAGATACACTTTTGAAACTATTATGCTTAAGGGAGAGGTTCCATTTGCTTCCCAAAGTATCAGTAGAAGTTTAGTATTGAGACTATCATTAGAAATAGCCATCTGTAACAGCTAAAATTTTCAGTGCAAAATATCCAGACAAAAGCTTATTCAAGCACAAAGGGAACCTTGCAACTGCAGCACCAACTTTGAGACTCATCAGACAAAGGTGCTGTTCATGGCCGTGGGGTTTATTTTGTTTTAAAGAAGCAAACAGCACACAGGGCAGGAAGGCAGGGCATGTCACTTTCAAGCCCAAAGGCAGTAAATTTATGTTACATCAGATAATCCACAGTAATTGCTTACACACATGACTCTGTCCCACAGTAACTGAGACTGCTCCTCTCTCAGTGAGAGAAGGCTGAGCCATTACACACTGTGAAGTGAAAGCAGATGTTGGCAGGAATACACACACATACACATGTGTGTTTATATATATATATGTGTGTGTGTGTGCCTGGAGATCACAATTTCTCCATAGATTTTATCACCAATGGAACTCACAATGTTCCCCAAAACTGCTCACAACCTACTATTGATTATAAAACCTGGTTTTCAATTATATATAATTCTGCAAAACTAAAAGGCATTTGTTTGGAGGTTTGCCCGTTTGTTTTTAATCAAGAGTTTTGGTAGTGGATTTTTAGGGAGGGGATGTAAACTGTCAAAATATCAGTCTATGGTATCATAGCATGTGTTCTCAACATGAAATGTGATGGGATCGCTGTATAAGATGGTTCTGTTGCCACCTCTGCAAAGAGCAGACTGGAACAGAGTAGAACAGTATATGCTGTGTGAGGAATTTGAGAGCACCACTAAGGTGACAAGACAGAGCACAAGCCCAAGCCAGGGACTGGCAGGGACCAAGAGCAGGGAATAAGCCAAGAAGGCTGGCTGTCAGAACCCATCTGTGGCTTCATTTCCATGTAAATCTTTTCATGACAAGTCAAAAGTGTGGACACCACATTTCCTGCCCTATAAAAAGTCCAAGTCACTCTGCCCACACCCCTGCTCTGTGCAGGCTGCAAATGGCCAGCATGACCACTTGTACCTGACAAATCCAAGCCAGGCTGTGCTATCAGCTGGGCAGCTCAGCCTGACCAGCTGCAGCAGCCCAAGCCCAGAGCCCAGGCACTGAGCTGCTCACGACGTGGGGAAGCAGCAGCTGTCGGGGCAGCACAGCCCTTCTGAGCAGAGCTGCCTCTCTTTCTGACACAAGGCCATGGGGAAGGGCACCAGTGGGAGATGAGGGCTGACATGCCCCTGGGCTGTCACATCGACTATAATGACCTACATCTACTCTTCTCCACCGTTCTTCCCTCTGGCCTCCTGCAGTATCAATGCTGTGCTGTTCCTCTCCACATGGTGCAATTAGGAAGGGAGATCACTCTGCTATATACTAATGGCCCAACCCACTTATTTTCCAATCTCACATTGGCAAGGGACAGGAACTTTTCTTTCTTAAAATTGTTAGGCATCAAATACATTGACACATATAATGCTAAGAGCAAGACAGCTCTGCTGCCATAACTGACACAGTAAAATTTATGTATGATACCATCCACTCCAGGAAGCTGCAGGAACTGGAAGTTTACCAGAAACAGAAAGGCAGAAGTATGGGTCTAAATTAATTGAAACTAGTAAAATTCATATTGAGGGACAGTTCGCAGTGGGCCGTTGTCCCAAGTGTAACATGTAAAGCATGGAGACATTCCTGCACAGAAAATCTCAGTTTCAATCTGTTCACACTTCAGTCAAGGCCAGCAAGTTTCATAGAAAAATACTCCATTCTCCCACCTTGCCAACTCAGCCTGTTCTGACTTTTGCAGATGTCTAAAGCCTTGTCTTTGGCTTCATTTGAATAATAAAGCCATCCCATCAATTAGTGAAGTTTACTGAAGAAAGAAGGACAATACAGAATAGTATTGAATTTGCCCTTGTTCAATCCAAGTTCTCTCCCAAGGCAAGAGTCCATCACATCTTCCTTCAGCTTGCTCACACACTGACTATTTACTAGTAAGAATGAAGAGAACTCATCCATCAGCAGTACAAACCTGGTAAAAGCCAAGGCATATTTTCATGCAGTAGCCAAAAGCTGTAGTCTAAGAACTGAACATTTTGGTGACAGGTTTCCCCTATGGTTATTTTCATTGTTTTTCTTTGGAACAAAGTTACTTTTTAAAAACTTACCAGCCAGCAGTGCAAACATTTGCCCAAAAGCAGAGTAGTTTGCCCAACAGATTTACAGTTTATCTCAATACCTTAATAAGCTAATAAAATTCATGAGCTGTTTAAGGCCAGGTGCTTCATCTACTTCCTTTCCAAACAGAACAAGGAAAGTGCATACATGACATAAAAAAATTAATTCAACTTAAAAAAACCAAAACAACACAAAACCAACCCAAAAATCCCCAAGAAATTTAAAGAACACAGACAATAGCTGTCATTAAATTCTGTATTATTCTTAAAGCTAACAGCTTCTGATGTGACCCACACAGACACTATAACTTTAGTGCTAAGAACACCCAAATATAGCATAACTGCTGGTGAATTCTTTGGGTTTGATTTGTTGTGAATTTGTTTTTGAATAACCTTAACTACTTCCCATGGCCTCTGATGAGTTTGCTCTTCCCGGGCCATCCCGCACCCCTCCCAGCGGGTGCAGCTTTCCAAACAATTGGCATTCAACAATAGATAACATTGAAGCACTGGCAGGGCAGCACCAGAGAATGACATACAGTTATGTAAAGCTGGGAACAAAGGCATTCACAGGGAGCCCAGGAACTGGATTTTCATATGACTGACCATCACAGAATGTGTTACAATAAATGCTGCAGGCACTCAGTTCTCCTGAGTTACTTCGGTTCCTTGCAGTAACTCTACTCTTAAATGCACTAAAATACATCCTGAACTGAAAGAGAAAGGGGAATACCAAGCTGTCTTTTCAGATATTTTTATGGATCTCTTACCTGCACACACCAAGGTGACTGAAATGGAGCTTTCTGAGTGTATCATATCAAAGTGACATGACCAAGTCAGGGCAATTTTCATAAATTTGATATTCTTCTTACAGAATTCAGTGCCTTTCACTTGAAAGAACAGCCAAGAAAGTATTTTATGACTTCACTGAAATACTACTTTCATCTACCAGCTGAACTGGTTCTTTTCACCTTGACTAAATGCAGACTCTACATCTGTTTAACACTGCACTAAGGAAGCTTTAAAAAACCCCTAAACTGTAGTAGCCTCATTGGTAAACACACTCTGTTGTGGTTTTATTTCTAAAAACTGTTTCTAATCCTAAAAAATAATTCATTTTCGACTAAATTAACATTCTTCTGGATGCTTCTGATTGAAGTGACAGGATGAAGCCTTCTCAAGAAGAGTTTTGAAAGACTTTCATGTTGCAGGCCCCCAGTGAGTTTAAACCAGCTCATTAGCACCAGACACCAGGACAGGCAGGACAGCAAAGCCCTCAGCACAGGCTGCAATGGGTGGTAAGAGCCAGTGTGAATACTGGGACAATCTGTTCACACAGCTCAGTGCTCCTAAGGCAATATTTCTTGAATTATCCAGCCACTTCAGCCAACTAAATTCATGCAACATGTCACCAGAGCAACTAGGAAAAAAAATCCATGACCACTGAAAACACCGCCACTGATTATTATTCTGGAAAAAAAAAATCAGAACTTGAAAATTTTAGGCAAACTATATTGATCTTACTGACTTTAAAAATGAAAGAAACATGAACCAGGATTGTACACAGCACTTAAGGCAGAATTAGTAACGAAAGGTCACTCTTCCTACAGAAGATTTGTGAAATACACAGGGAAACAAAAACAACAAAGAGATTTTGAAGTGCGTTTGTAATAATCCCTTCAATTTGGGTTCTTTATATGATTAACCTGTTCCAAATGTTACATTGTTGAGCTTAATTATCCAGGGATTTAAATACTTTACTGAACCAGAATTCAGAACTAGAAAAACTCTGCAGCAGCTTTATGAGAAATCTTAATCTGAACTCATTTAAGGGATGATCTCCCTTCATGATAACAATTTCTCTAGTTTCCATACAAACTATGAACACGTTTTGTGGAGAGTTTTCATTCTACAGACAGCATTTCAATTTCTTTCTCAAAATGTCTTAGATCACACCTTATGTAATAGCAATTCTCTGCAAGGAATGGAGGAAGGGAGAAAAGCCAACAATCAGTAACAGTACTTTCATTAGGAAGTTCCCTTCATTTTGTAAACAGTACCTTGGATGTAAGGTCTCGGTGGAAAATGCCTTTGTAGTGAAGATAACTGATTCCCATAGCAATGTCATAGGCCAGTTTCACCCTCACTGTCCAGGGCAGATGCTGGTTGCCATCTAGTAGCTGTTCCAGGTTACCACAATTGATGTACTGAAAAGACAAAGTGACATTTGTAATTAATTATTTAACTTAATATTTTGTCAGGAATGTAAAATTCATCTCTACAACACGTAACTTCAGCTCAGTTACACATTAAAACCTTTTTTTCACATGGGCTTGGCAGGCACCAAGTTTGCAGATCAAGAGAAGCTGAAAATGTCTCCCTTCATCACCTGTACCAACACCCTTATGTTAGAGGCAACAGCCACCACTGTATTAACTCTGTGGTATTTAAACAGACCCTTCAGAAACCCCTGCAATATCCTATCACTCTCTCATTTCAGCTTGAGGAAAATTAGGGCAAAAAACAATGCAGAGCTGACTTTCATATAGAATTAAACAACAAAGGCAGAGGTAAGCATCCAAGTGTAGGTCATGGAGCCTGATCAAGTTCCCTTAAACTGAGACAGCATCAAAGAAAATATTATAATGTGCTGCTCTAAGTTCTATTTTTTCACTGCTGTATCTACAAGTTCTAATTAGCAATATGATTCCCAGTGTGTTCAGTACTACATCAACTCCATCAAATGGTGGCCCTCTCAAAATGGAAAGCACAATAAGGGAAAGAGAAATGCTACAAGAGACAGTGAAACAAAGCAGCACTTAAATGATACAAAGTAATGTAGCCCAGGTTAAGATGAGGCAACTCCAGTGCTGGAATAATCACTACAGCAGCACAGCTTATGCTTCATGTATAGACCCTTTATAGCACATCAGCAGCTACACAGTGTTTAAACTGCTTTTTGTTACACTCCCAGCCCCAGGCCCCCACCAGGGACCAGGCAAAGAGAATAGCTCACTCCAGAAGGAAAACCTGGCAGCAACGCAGTGACTTCTGTCAAGGCAATCCAAGTGAAGCAGACAGGACAATTTGCCCCCAAGCCTGGCCCACGCCTGTGTCCCTGTGCCAGACTGCACCAACTTCACTTCTTTGTGCCACACAGGTCTCCAGCTCTCTCTCAAACGACTTTCCTGTGTCATTCGCGTGGACAAAACATGTAGCATCATCCTCATGGTTAAAAAAAAACAAACCAAAAACCCCTAAATTGCAGCTCTTGTTGTTTCAGAAACTTGGAACCTGCTTGTATTTTATTGCTCTTTCTTGTGTCTTGGAGCCTGGGACACCAGGCAAACATGAGCTATACACCCTGCATGGATGGATGTAGCTGATCTCCCAAGGTTGTGCTACAGCAAGGAAAGAATACACACAAGTTGGACTCTCCTAGTAACTCTGGTGGTCACAGGCTGCAAAAGCTTCCTCCTTACAGCTCAGGTTCAGCCACTGCTGATCTCACCAGCGGATTTTGAAAACCCTTTCGGCAGATACACAGGTAACTACATGAGGAGGCAGAATTGTCGGGGCAGAGGAGGCACCGAGCGATTTCACCTGGCACGGAGCCCATCGGGAGGGGGCGCCACGAAGCAGCCGGGGGCTCCTGTGCGATCCCTCGGGAACGGGGCTCATCCAGCCCGGGCACAGCCCCGCATCGCACCGGAGCCCAGGGCATGACCCCCTCTCTCCAGAACAACCTGCTCCTTGTGCTGGAGCTCCTGTGCCAGGAGAGCAGAGCAGCTCTGCAGCAGGTCACTCTGAGGCCATGCAATCTCCATCCTTGGAAATTTTCAAGACCAACTAGAGCTGTAGCCAACCTGGTTCAATGTTGGAAACAATGCTGCTTTGAGCTTTTCCAGCTTTGATCTTTCTCATTTCTTTTATCTGAACCCCTAAGGGAACTGGATGACCTTATAGAGCACACAAGAAAAAAAAAAAAACCCAAAAATAAAAAACATGCTCAATAAAATTAGATTTTTTTAAACATAAGTTGCTATCATGCTTAAGTTAAAAACAGCAACTAAGATTTCTACAAGTTATATATTCCCAACCTCCTTGAAACAGTGCAAACAGCACTTCTCATCTAGTCATGCTCAAATCAGAACAATACTGACCAACCTGGAACAGAAAGCACCAAAGCACCTGGCTGAATAATTCAATTATAAAATAACACTTAGCAAATATCTCAAACCATTTACCTTTCTGACAGGCCAGCAACAGAGCATCCATAAAGCACCACCATACTTGAATTCATTGGAAAGACAATGCAAGGGGGGAGGGAATCACTGACCTAGCTTTCATTTTCTGTTCTCTGAACTGTGCCATTCCATGACACAAATTGCTCCAGAAATGCTAATAAACAAGCAGCCCCTAGGAGTATTGACACACACAATGAAATGGGACAATAGCTGGCTACAATATCGAGCATGCTCTTGCTTTCCTTTTCAACACAGCAGCCTACTGATTTGATCCATTGTTGCCATATTAGTTAAATGCATCAAATAGATACATTCCTGCAGCACTCTTCCAGTCAAACAGGGTCACTCACCCATCTTAACTGCAAGGATTAGATTCAGCATGGGCTGGGGGACAGCTGACACACACTGCACACAGCATCCATGAGCTACAAAAGTGACAGTCAAACCTGTTTCCAGCAGATCTACAAAAACCCACCAGGCCTCCCTGCCACCCAGCTAGTGCACAGCCCTCATTTATCAGAGTTGCCAGTTCTGCCTTTGGCTCCAATTTCTACACACATGAAGCACATGAGGCTAACCATCAAGTGAACAACCAAACTAAGATTTTCCTAGACATCTTTAGTTGATCTCAGGTTTTAGCTGGCCAGCAGGTAATATTTGCATGCAGAGATCTGAATTGTTCCTAAGGCAAGCACTGCACAGTGCTCCCTCAGTGTCATGTAAGTAATCCAATTCTTCCAGTCACTCAGGCTGATAATGCAAACAGCCAGCCTGATGGCCTATTTTTTTCAGAGGACTTCAACAATGCCTTTTCAGGACAGACACAAAACTATGTACATTACTTCCTAATTGCCAGTGCAACTGAAAGAGAAAAATACTTGTTCTCAATCTCTTACTGGCACAAATCAGCTCTGTGTGGTAAGAATATCCTGAAGGATAGAAAATGCACCTCTCCCAAAGAGAACACTGGATTTTATTCTGTCCCTGACACAGTACTGCAGCAGTAAGGCTACAGCACACACATTATCTCAAAACATTATTCTACTACAACAACAACAGCAGCCATCACATAAGCGTACAAGCAATTGGAACAGAGATCTGACTGGGCCATGACAATGAAAGCAAAGGGCACTACATTTCTTAAGAGACATCACAGCTAAATGGAGCAGTGTTCAGACCTTTTCAAACCCTGTATCATCAGGTTGCAGTGAAACAGCTACCCATTATTCCTCATGCTACTTTTCTGTCATGTAACTGGACACCAACAGCCAGCTTATCTGGTTGCCAGTCTGAAAGCAACAGCTATAGGTTGTTTATTTTTGCATTTACTACAACTTTACACAGAAAGTTGAACACTGGCTTAAAAGACCTTGGAATTTTAGTCCACAAAAATATTCTTTCTTTAGAAAAACCGAGGTAAGAGTTCATACCTTTGTTGTGAAAACAGAACTTCAGCTAAACTGCATTTCTGGTACCTCTCCCAAATGTTATGAAGAAAGAGGGCAGTAGCTCCTTTGAAGGACAAGTTACTCAGAAGCTCAGCCAAGCACAGATGACTTCTGGATCAAAGAACCTTGAAGAGGTTTCTGATGTTATTGTTTACTGCTATGAAATGCAGAAGCAGCAGTGTATCCCCATGCTACAGTCATGCTACTTTAACCTAAAATCAGCATAATAGGACTGCTGCCTTGTAACACAATTGCAGTCACATTATCAGACTCCAGCATATGAAATGAAGAAATTCAGCATATAACAGTACTTATGCACAGCATTACACGCTTCATTTCAAGAGACTAATTACGAAGTTCAGCTGTCAGATAATACCCAACTTCAGCTGTCAGATTTTAGCTTCAAAAATCAAAATAGCAGTTTAAACACTAATATGAGAACTAATAGCTCCTAAAGAAAAGGCACCAGATTCACACAATTCTAACAGTTATTTGTCAAAAACAAAGACTCCAAATATTGCCAAGTCTGAGCAAGAAGGCTGATGGGAATTGCAAAGAGTTTCCAATGCTATTTTGCAAACCAATGCTGTTTCAGTGTGTAGGTCTGATATAAATAAGCCAACAGATACGACACAGGAAAGCCAAAAGAAAAAATGTGGCCTGCTATTTAGATGACTTTAAATGTCACTGCCTGTCATTTGAAAAGCAACAAATAACCACAAGACACCCCTGTACTGTTGGCCAAATGTTGAAAACTACAAGGCTTTAAGTGGTTAAGAAAATTAGGTGTGGAGAGTGCATTTCAGGTGACAAACCAAATGAGGCAAATAAAGAACAAGAGATCCAGGGACCCAGCACACAACAAGACAAACACTGAGATAGCAACAAATGAATATACTGCAAAAACAGGTAGAGATGCAGGAGAAAAGAGAAACTAGAATTGTGGCAGTAGCACCTTCTGGAGAAGGAAGAGAGACATCAGAGCAAAACCCAGAATAAGTAGTTATACTCTGAAGGGAGACCTGTAAAGCAAAATAAATATTGCAGACATTATTGACAAAAGCATGAAAGACTCAAAATAGACAGAGCTTGCACATTTGTATCATTTCTAATGCTGGAAGTAAGAAGGTAACTCTCATGCCTAATAAAAGGAAGCTGAGAACTTTTCACTAAGCTTTCTGCAGAACTTTAAAACCAGTTTTAGACCACCTGTCTCACTGAAGACACAACCACATCTTCAGTTCTCTTATGTTAAACAGTCACCTGTCACACTGTGCAGTCTCTAAGTGACTGCTCTGAAGGTTTCTGGCTTCTGCACAGGCCAATGTACCCTTGTTCTGTCACAACTGGCATAACTAGCTACAGTGGAAGGACTGGAAGTTTCATCCTTTCCCCAAACTGTTTTCATTACCTTCAGCTGTGCAGAACTGAAAAAAAAAAAGATAACATCATACTACAAGTTGATACTACAAGTGAGATTGACAATGAGATTAAATTGACATTTTTTAAATT